GCCCCGAGGAAGACCCAGGACACGCTGGAGGGACTATGTCTCTCGGCTGGCCTGGGAACGCCTTGGAGTTCCCCCGGAGGAGCTGGAAAAAGTGGCTGGGGAGAGGGAGGTCTGGGCCTCCCTTTTGAAGCTGCTGCCCCCGCGACCCGACCCCGGATAGGCGGAAGAAAATGGATGGATGGATGGATGGATGGAATGAATAGAATTAGACATAAACATCTAGACCAGGGGTGTCCAAACCTGGTCCTCAAGGGCCACTATCCTGCATGTTGTAGAAGTTTCTCTGCTCCAACTCACCTGATTTGAATGAATCGGTGACTACCAGGTTTCCGCAGAACTTGAAGAGGTAATTCAGTGATTGGAACAGGTGTGTTGGAGCAGAGGAACACCTAAAACATTCAGGACAGTGGCCCTCCAGGACTTGAATTGGACACCCCTGATCTAGAACACGATACATTCTAAAATACTTATTTTGAGCATAAATGTAAAATGGTCAACAATAACATTTTCTTGCCAATCCCTCACTCAGTTTGTTGCAGAAATTGAATGTAAATAGTTTGTCATGGCCTCTGAAGAAGAAGAGCTCAAATGGTTTATCTAAAACAGCCAGTTACACAAAGTCAAGCTTGGGACACTTGTAAATAACAAGAGGTGTGAGATCTTTCTAACCGTTTTTATCATGTTTGCATAAAAACTGAACTCTGCTTTGACATAGGTCTATAAATTCCACAAAATGTATTTTTAAGAGCCTAAATATTTGAATAAAACTAGCCTTAGTTATGAACTCAGCAGAGTGTTGTGGATATTAAAACAATCTTTTTTGTCTCATTATATATGCTATGTTTTAGGGCAATAGTACCCATGGGATCCAGACACTAAAGTAGGTTTAATAATATTAAGGAGGAATACGGGGGTCTTGAAAAGAGCTACAAAAATCAAGATAGCCATGTATCATATTTAAAAAACATACAGCACATTTTATGCTTGAAAAGGGGTCATCATGTTCCCATTGGCCTACTTGAACTTCAGTATTTATTTTATTTGTAATAAAAGACATTTGAAGGGAGAGCCAAGCATCTTCCATTGCATTCATTATTAACCAAAGACAATATGCTCCCGTCCCAGAAAAAAAAAGATATAGATACCAAAAACTGAGAAAGGTTTGCGATAGGTTCCACAACAACCTTGTGACTATTTTAARAGGTTTCTCGTGTGAATCTTTCAAACATGTTCAAAACCTCATGAGAGCCACAAACATTAAGGACGGTCTCCTTGAATGACTTTGGCAATTTGTCACCAACAATTGCTGCCCATTGCAAGCTTTAGGATTAAGAAGCCAAACATGAAGAAAACATAACCATTTAGACAATTAAACATATCTGAATTGAAAAAAGAAAAAAATTGTATAGGTCTTCTGGACGGGTTCTTCTCTAATGAAACGTTTCATCTCCCCTCCAAGAGACTTCTTCAGTCTGAGAGTTTCAGGCAAAATTCAGGCTTTTAAGCACTGCTTCCATGTGACTGATACTCACATCACATGGCTATTGTTGACACCTAATTAACACCTATTGTTAACAGGGGGTGGCGTGATACTGGCAATAGCAGCACTGTAGGAGGGGGACAACTGAAAACGGAGGCCTCCACCTCTGTTTAATGATGAACGGTCTTTCAG